TGGAAGTCCTCTCTCAGGAACAAAGAGTCCTCCATCAGGGGCTAAGCCCTCAGTAACAACGTCACTGAAATATTTACAAGAGTCTTCTTCCATACTCCTTGCAGACCTACTAGACCTAGTGGAAATGAAAGTTTCCAGTTCTGAGTTTTGGTATCTCTTCACAGCATCAAGTACCTTTTCTGCTACAACCTCTGCTGCAATATCCCCTCCACAAAGAACACGGATGTCGTACCACCTTTTGTAGAACTGCTTCCTAAACTGAAGTATGTCCTTGAGAGAAATACCAGGAGACTGGCCCACGATGCGATCCACTTTCATTGATTTCAGCCTGCTCATAATGACTGTTGTGGGCACATCCAGATATACAACTATTCCATTTTTCTTCATATGTTGCATGCCAGCAGAATGCATTGGATTGGACCCAGTAAGGGAAATGACACTTCCAGATGCTGAAAAATTCAACAGGGCTTTTCCTTCCTCCTCTAAAAATTGCTCATTACCTACATCCTGCAGTTTTTCCGACACACTCATATTCCAGGTTGTTTCAAGGACATCGTCATCTATGTCCATGACAGGGCAATCTAGTTTCTGACCTACTATTCTCCCAACTGTTGTTTTCCCAGCACCCGGAGGTCCCATCAGGATAATATTTTTGTTTCCAACAAGAGAATGGCTTGAGAACCATGACTTCCATATCTGTGCAAATGCAACAGGTCTCGAAAGCATGAGTTTAAAACACATGCTAGTAAGACTGGTTTGGGTTATTAGTCTTAAAGGCTGATACAGAACAACATGCAACATCTTCTTCTGCTGGGTTGTTGGGTTTGGGGTTTTTTTTCCCCAAACCAACTTGACAATCCACTTAACTGCTTCAAAAAGAAAAAAACAGTAATTAGTCCTTCAGCAAACATCTAGGAAAAAACCTAAAGGATATGAAATTCAGAACAACAAGAATTCAAACATAAATCCAGTTATGACTTCAGCAGTGCCAGGGAGGTATTTTTCAGACTAAGACCCATTCCCCTCTCCTGCATAGCTCCAGCTCGCTTCCACTGACAAATCCAACTTCAAACAGTCCATGTCCTCAGGGTAAACAAAGACACCCAAATCTAACACTACAATACTATTTGCAAATAATATTGTTTATAGGAATTCAAAACCAATTAGTTTTTCCTCTAGTAGACTTACTTTTAAGTACGCATTTACAAATAATGAAGATTAACTAAAATACCTTCTTGTAATCAAAATGTTAACAAAATATGCATTTTCCCCACCTCCCAAGATGCCTTTGATTTCTTATATTGTCTTTCAAAAAAAAAAAAAATGCAAGATCGACTTAAAATACACAGAAAACTCACAGATTTGTGCAACAGCAAGGCTGGAAGAGTTGCATCCAATTCTCTTCTGAAGGGATGGCAAACCAAGCAAGTGATTTGTGAAGAACTCCTATAATGGAATTGTATTGAGTGTATTTGTGTAAAGTAAGAGAGAGAGAAAACACGTCATGAAGACACTCTACCCTCGAAAAAAAACCCAACATCACTAGGCAAGCTGGATCTCCAACAAAGATTAAGCAAGAAGCTCTCAACATGGTATTTTGTTTGCTTAGAGAAATCAACACCAGTATCAGCATGAATTGCAGCACATGATTTGTGCATGTTTAGGGCAAAAGGGGAAGAACTCTCAAAATCTCCGTAAAGGGGCAAGGAGGCGGCAGAAATCGGCACAAATTTGCACGCAAAATCCCTACAGAGTCATTTTTCATTTTAGGTAGGCAAACAAATATCACTTTATTATTGTTATTTATTCATTGTTCATGACTAAAAATACTTAAAGAAAAGCAACACTGAACTTCCTTTCAGGAAATTAATGAAATTTTAGATGTAAAAATCCAACTCGATGCTTACTCATCAATTCTAAAAAAGTAATAAATATTTTTTATATATATATATTTGAAATAGTATGCAGTACAAAGAGATGGTTGACTAAGCTGCAAGTTGTACTTTTTTTTTTTTCCTCCTGGCACTGTAACCCGTAACCAAAATGGCAATCAGCAACTTCTAATAACTACATTTTAAAGACTCAATCTAGCTGCTAGCACCCCAGCATTTGCTTTGCAATGTTTTTTGGTTTTTTTTAGTTTATATACCAGCTACTTTTACCAGTGGGAAAAAAAAATTAATGAGAAAGTGTTTTCCCACGTTAATCAGTACAGACTAAACAAAACAATTAAAGGAATTCACTAAAGACTAAGTTTCCAAATCCTTCAATTGTTCTGTGCTTTTCTCTACATGCTCTCCAGTCCAAGAGCCTTTTTTCACCGTGAGGAGCAGAAGGAGGTCTGGAATTGCAGCAGAAGGCAGGTGAGCACCAAATGGGAACTGCATCATCTTCCAAAGACCTACTCATGATTAAGCCATGTTTACAGTTATCACATCAGTCCTTTAAGACCCTGCTGTCCCCCATCAGTGTGCATAATATCAAATGACTCCAAAGATACAGGTCACAAACTTCAAAAATGCCACAGAAGCTCAAGTTTTGTAAGAGCAAACAACAAAAACAAAGACTCTTCACTTCCAGATGCTCCTTGCTCTAGATTATGCTCTGTGTTCCCCGGTCTGTCTTTTACACTCTACTTTCTTTAACAAACTATTAGCATACGTTACAAAGTCAAAGTACTTCTAATTATTTAAATCTTTGCATTTGCCCACTTCTGTAAGGAGAGATGAGCTTGCAAACAGTAAGTCCCTGTGTTTGCACCCAGTGCTGTGACGTGATGAACAGGCTGTAATTACAAGGCATAGATCAGAGTAAAAATGGGCATATCATACTGTACGGTTTTTTCCGTATCCTTGTGAAGTAGAAGGGAATGGTCATGTGTAGATGCAATACAAGGTTTTTATCACAGTTATTAAAAAGAAAAAACAATCTGTGAAGAATAGTTGTAATATTCAGTATCATTATAAGGCTGTACTGTACTAGCAATGCACTCTAGTGAATACAAACCTACAGAGCTACAGGGCCAGAAAGAGATATTTGTATTAAACATCTAGATGTAAATAAGTTATGTTCGGTATTTTAAAAAATTTAGAGACAATATTTTAGTGATTTTATTTCCTGAACGTAAGAATCACTTCAAGTGTTATGTATGAACTAAGGGAGTATGAACCATGCCAAGCATAGTGGCCTGCCTACCATGTCTAGTTGCACTACAGATTCACTTTAAGATGCAGCCACTCAGTACACACTACACAGCTGCTGGACTTAACATCTGGATTGCTTTATGAATCTAGGCCACGGGGATTTAAATCCCCCCAAATTACAGGTGTAGACAAGGAAGGAACTAGACCCAGATATCTCTAGTTATCAGCTTACCATGTTTACATGAAGTTATAAGCAGCCTATGGTATTGTTTGAAATCAACTTGGTTAATCTGGTGCAAAAATTTGCAGGGAATTTCTTTATTCAGCTGCTCAATCAGTTTAATCTATTCCAGTATAATTCAATTTTGCACCCACATAAAGTACATTTACACAGAAGCTTGCAACCATTGAATTCAACTGTTTCTTTGAAACAATTTTTTATTAAATCGGCAAAACCTTACTGTAAAAACAGCTCAAAGTAGACTTTACATCTCGTAGGGTTTACCAGTCTAGTTAGAACACCAAACCATCCAACTTTAGATATAGTTATTCTCACAAAAGAGTGGGGGTTTTTTTGAAGCGGAGCTTACATTCGTACCTCTAATGAAATTTTAAGTTTTGACAATACACCTCGACCCTTCACTTAGACTGCTGACAGCACCCACATATCGTCAGCAAATATCCACAGTTTTAACAACCACTGCTGATGACAAGAGTTATAGTAAAAACTGAACTTGGTTACTGGCAGAGACACAAAGTTTGCAAAAACATAATGTATGGTTAAAAATCAGTAACCAGAGAAGTCAATGGCAGTTCACAGCTGTCAAAGACCTCAAGGTAGGTCAAGACTGATAATTATCATATTTCAAAACTGTTAACACAGGACGACTTCCATTTTACTTGTCTGAGAGCTTTTATGCAGAGAAAAAAAAAATAACCCCAAAGTAAACCATTCAACTGCAACTGTCCCACCACCATCCCACAGACCCAGCC